CAGTTACCAGGGTGAACACAGAATGGTTAAGATTAGGGAGTTACTCTTTTATAATTCTCCAAGATAAAGAAATAATGATTGAGGTATTACTGTTATAACTGTAGTAAACATGGTTGTTTTTCCTGTTGCAACACTCGGTGCAAAACTCTGATAAAACAATTGTGTGAAATCACCCATTTTGTATGTAAAGTACAAAAAAAAAGGACCCAATAGTAATTAGTGATATTAATGGTAATTTTGTGGGATTTATGTGACCCTGTAATTCCCAAAGTCATAATGTCACAATATCTCTAGGGTTAAGTATTTCTGCCTTTAACTGAAAAGTTATCACTTGTTTAAATCAGGGTCACATTTATTTAAGACACGGATAGTTAACGAGGTGAAAATAAAACGAACACCGCGTTTCTAACGAACAGTCATCTGAGAAGAAAAGATGCAGCTGTGATATTATAGTCGTTTACTGTACAGAATCTGACTGACAAGATTGCTTTTTTTGTTTACAGTATAAAGGTTAAACGATTGAAGTAAAAGAAAACCTGGCATAAAAAACAATTACCGAGATTACGTTTTCTTCCCGCCCACTCCATTTTCACAAGAGAGAGAAAAATTTAAGTTAACTAAATGGAAGCGGAGGGGGTGGACGAGGGATGTACACTGAGTGGTCACAAGCAAATAGACACCTAATTTTTCGTCATTTAACTGATTTATGCTAATTAATTTGTGTTCACAGAGCACTATATAAATCAAAATGGTCCGCACACTAATTATCTTGTGCTACAACATGCCTAGAACTCAAGGTTCTCTCGAATTGTCAGATTTTGTTAGAGGAAGGATAGTTGGTCAAGCAGATGGTAAGAATAAGTCAGCGTCAAATTTCGCAGCATTTGGGAATCCCGCTTTCGACAGTCAACAGAATCATCGTGCAGTTCAGGAAACACGGCAAGAAAACAACTGAGCAGCGTCCGAGTTGTCCTCGTCCATCGGAGAGGACAAAAAGGGCTGTCAAGAGGAGCATCGAAATGGATCCCAGATTAACGACTGCATAAGTGGCCAAAGCTGGTGGGATGAGCCCGAAATCTATTCAACGGATTCTCCACAGATTAGGTTATCGTTGCAGAGCAGCTAGACGGAAGCCCTTATTAAGACCTGCCAACAAAGTCAGACGAAAGAAGTGGGCAAGTGATATGATGACCAAGCCTCTGGACTTTTGGAAGACCGTATTGTTCTCAGACGAATAGGGATTCGCTCAATTTTCGAACAGTGGAAGGATATGGGTCTGGAGAATGCCTCACCAAGAGTTTTGGCTCAACAGATTGCAGCCAACTGTGAAGCATGGTGGTTTCAGCGTGATGGTTTGGGGAGCTGTTTGGGTTGGAGGGAGATCGAGCTTAGTGGAGTGCGTTGGCAACATAAATTTTGCGAAATACGTCGAAATATTGAAGGAAGGACTCTTGCCACGTTATTCCTCGGGTTTCGTGGACAAGAACACAATGTTGTTCCAGGAAGATGGAGCACCGTGTCACACTGCTAGAAACATCTGCAAGTGGCAGGAAGAAAATGGTATCCAGAAGTGCCCTGGCCGAGCCA